ATCTGCCGGCTACTTAGGCCCACGCCATGCTGTAATGCTGTTATGCTGTAAATCTTTCTGTCACTTTGAAAATTTATTTGCAACACCCCGATTTATAACTTTGTGTTTACTCCATTATAGATCCCAGGATAACAGGATATAATTGTCAGGAGCCTGACTCCTCACTAAATCTTACACATTCTTCTCCGACCGGATGACCTACGAAGCGCTGTTCGAGGAAGGCAGGAGGCGGATTCTGATTGGCCTTCGTAAAATTCACCGCGTCTTCACTTTAGCCAATATAGTCCACCGCCTGCGGGTGCACGTTGTTGTTTGCGTCTTATGTTTGAGCAATGTCTCAATCACAAGCGCAAGATAAGCTCACTAGGATCGCCATTGTGAGCCAAGATAAATGTAAGCCGAAAAAATGTCGGCAAGAATGCAAGAAATCGTGTCCGGTCGTGCGGATGGGTTCGTTTTAACATATTTTATTATTCCTGTAGGCAAATTGTGTATTGAGGTTACTCCCTCCGACAAGATCGCTTTCATTTCTGAGGAACTTTGCATCGGATGTGGAATTTGTCTCAAGAAATGTCCCTTCCAAGCAATCAATATCATAAACCTTCCCAGCAATTTGGAAACCCAAGTCACTCACCGTTATGGTCCAAACTCTTTCAAACTTCACCGCTTGCCAATGCCGAGGCCTGGTGAAGTTCTGGGTCTCGTTGGAACAAACGGCATAGGAAAGTCTACCGCGTTAAAAGTATTGGCGAGCAAGCTTAAGCCTAATTTAGGCCGCTACAAGGTATTACACCTAGCCTGAATTTTGGTCTCTGGACGAACAGCGTACTAACTTTTCATTTTTTTAAGAACCCACCGGATTGGACAGAAATTCTTATACATTTCCGCGGCTCAGAACTTCAAAACTATTTCACGAAAATACTAGAAGACAACCTGAAGGCTGTTATAAAGCCCCAGTACGTTGACCAGATTCCCAAAGTCGTCTCGGGCTGCGTAAATACCCTACTCAGTCGTAAGGATGACAACGGGAAGCGGGAGGAGATCCTCGAAGTCCTGGACTTGACGACTCTAGTGGAGCGCGATGTCATTGAACTTTCCGGAGGAGAACTGCAGCGTTTTGCCATTGCGATGGTTTGTGTCCAGAGGGCCGACATCTACATGTTCGACGAGCCTAGTTCTTATCTGGACGTCAAACAACGTTTGAATGCCGCTATTACGATAAGAAACCTTCTTGATGTAGGTCTTTTTTTCTAAAATTATTTGCAGAAATCTAATTACGTGGTCGTCGTGGAACACGACTTGTCTGTGCTTGATTACCTCTCCGACTTTATCTGCTGTCTATACGGAGTTCCTGGGGCGTATGGTGTCGTAACGATGCCTTTCTCCGTACGAGAAGGTATCAATATCTTCCTTGACGGTATGATTCCTACCGAGAACATGCGATTTAGAGATGCTCCGCTCGTCTTTAAGGTGAGTGTCCTGGTTCTTATTTTCAATCCCAAATATCCATATTATCAGGAGCTTTGGATGCAGTTCACTTTGTTTCTTCCACATACGAGTTTTCTTCTTTACGATGACCTAAGTTCAGCGTCTATCTTATCGACATTCGTGTTTTATACGCATCATGCCCCTCCTTTATAATACAAGACTAGCATTGCAAGTTGTCTGAATATGTGCTGTCGCACATGGTTGTTATCTATCCTCAAACCTATGAGCCCCTTTGAGGTTACAAATAGTAAATCTACGCCGGCTGTGAGCTAGCAAATATTTGTCAAATTAGAGCCTTACACATTTTTTGATTACAAAAACCTAAATTATTTTATGGACACTGCTCTCTTTCTACCTATGTGCCTTGAAAACAGCCTAGCTATCATACTCGCCGCAACAGAGGTCAGCGCAAGTGTTGCGAGTACTCACTGAGTGCCGTAGGCGATCGTTACTTGGCCTTCGTTATTGCACAACTTGCTAGAGTTGCAAACATTTATGTTCCCAGTGAAGTTATAAAATTCTTCAGGTAGTACTTGCGACGAACATTTAACGGCCTTATCGAGAACTCAAGCTAATGCGAAACATAGGCATAGGTAGTCAATGACCCACTGTCAAAGATTAAGAATCAATTAACCGATCCCACAATAATCGCCGAAACCGTCATTCAATTTTAGCATATACAAAAGAGCTTCAAGAGGAAACGCGTTTTCCAGCACCACAAACTCAGTTAACGAAATATCACTAAAAGACCTGGGCTAGCAGAAGACAAATAACAAGGCCCGAAATGCGCATTTAAGATTTAAGGATAGAAGATCAAGGAATTAAGTGGTAAGAGCCTTTCTGAAGTGCGTGCCTTGGATTTGTATTTGGGGTTGCTGTTTGGAGTGGAGTAATATTAATGCGTAGCGGTTTCAAGTTGACATATGCAGGCCGCCCATGTCTGGTACTGTTTACATTACAGGAGTTAGATGAATCTGTATGGCTTGAATGCCAAATTTATTCTGGAGGAGGGTTGTTCTTGAGATAGGGCTGTTTAGGGCGGCGAGTGATGTTGGGCATAATGCTCTGCGAGAGTCCACCGTCTGAAGCATCGTCTGCGGTGCGGAAGTGGTTCTCGGAGATGAAAGGCCAGCGATTACCGTTCTGACACTGTCATCACATTGCACGTTGGCGCACACACTTTCATAGTTGTTCCTTTTTAATGGCCACACTTATGGCGATGGTATGCAGTGGTATGAATTAGAGTTGTTGTTAGAACATGGATACATTTGTCAAGGAGAGTTTCATTTGCATGACGAATGCCAAATTTATTCTGGAGGAGGGTTATTGTTGAGATAGGGCTGTTTAGGGCGGCGAGTGATGTAGGGCATAATGCTCTGCGAGAGTCCACCGTCTGAAGAATCGTCTGCGGTGCGGAAGTGGTTCTCGGAGATGAAAGGCCAGCGATTACCG